TCTTCAGCTAATGAGTTGAGAAAAGACCATGTTTCTGATCGAAATCCTGGATAAAAATAAATAATAAATGAATTAATAAATTTAACCAGAAATCATGATATGTCACGCTATAAGGTGGATAGACGGGAACATGAATTTGGTAAACCAAAATTTTGATGGCTGGATACCATCAAGCTCCTCTTCAATTCCAGAAGACCCAATAAAAGCAATGAAGTATAGAATATTGGTCATAGATGGTCCAGCTTCAGATGAGGTATATATTACTTAATTAATTTCATTAATTAACTCATGTTAATTCATTTATTATTTATTTTTATCCAGGATTTCGATCAGAAACATGGTCTTTTCTCAACTCATTAGCTGAAGAACACGAACAAAATGGATACGAGATATCTTTAATTTTATTATCACATATAACAATATACAAAGGGAGGAATTATGTATTGATGATACAATGACTATCTTGGATCAATATGTTTGTATATTTACATTTATCAATTTCATATATTTTACATTCTAATACATTTATTTATAAGTTTATTTGTACATTTATACTAATAGCAATGTCTACATAGAAGAACAAAATCATCTTTCAAAAAAATGCATCCAAATTTATTCTTACTAAACTCAGACCTAAATTCATATTTGCGGGGCATGATCATGAAGAATGTGATATAACTCATGTAATACACAAACAAACCAATGATAATTATTCGTTTGAAGCTTACAGGACATCGGATTTTGAAATGAGAAAGGATGAACTTATTGAGCAATATGACAGTGAAAAAATTTGTATGGTTAGATCTGTAATGGGTGGATATGAGGGTAATGCTGGTTTATTTGAAATTAAAAGTATGATTGGAAAGGATGGGAAAAAAGGTATACTTATTTCAATTCTATTCAATTCATTTACCATTTCTGTCATATTAACTCAAATCCCAATTTTAGAATTTAATTACAACTATAATTCATGTCCATTCGTTATAATCACGTTCCATGGATAGTCTTAATAATGGATATTGTTGTATTATTAGTTTTTTTTTATTTAAATGTATGTGGGATTTACAAACTTGCATTTAGATAGTATTTTGAATGTATTTGAAACGTTAAAGAGCTTAATAAAATTTTTTATTG